TCCTTCCTTCCTTCCTTCCTTCCTTCCTTCCTTCCTTCCTTCCTTCCTTCCTTCCTTCCTTCCTTCCTTCCTTCCTTCCCCAACAACATGGTTGCATCTGGTTGCATCTCCAACGACAACTTGAAGAGCATCCGGAAGCTTCAACAGCAGCTACATGGACAGTTATGTGTGCCTCTGTTCTCTGAGCTGCATTGACTGCTGGTCTGCTTCTGGATGCAATCCAAGGTGCTGATTTTGACCTTTAAAGCCCTACATGGCATGGAACCAGGTTATTTGAGAGACTGCTTCTTCCTGATTACATCTACCTGTCCCATCAGGTCAAGCAGGAGGGGTATGTTGTAGATCCAGTCCACTAAAGAGTTCCATCTGACGGGACCCAGAAGATGTGCCTTTTTAGCGATGGCTCCTACCCTCTGGAACATCATTCCCTCCAAAGTGAAGTTAGCCCCATCTCTGTTAGCTTTTCAGAAAGCCCTTAAAATGTGTTTTTTCCAGCAACCTTTGGGAGTCTGTGAGATGGTTGTATTGTGCCTAGATGGTTGTTATTCTCCAGCAATCTTGCTTTTTATTTATTTTTATTATGTTTATTGTTTTAAGTGTTTCAATGGTCATGATATCGTTTTAATTGTTGCTGGTTGTACGCCACCCAGAGTCACATGCAGTGAAATGGGCAGCCATATAACTTTGCTAAATAAATAAATAAACATACATTGTGATTTACTCAGTCGATCAATCCATAAAATCAGATGAGAGGTGATTGCTGGTTTGATAGATATGGACATTTTAGATTTAAGTCTTTCTTCTCAGCTTATGTATCTTAGATTTAACCATCAGTTTATAGCCAGAAATATAGATTTAATGGGAATTACAGAATTATACAATCAGTACTAACAACAATAATTATACTATTAGCAGAAATAAACATTTTGTCTTATGCTGTTATCTCATATTCAAGCACAGTGTTTTTTCTTTTGACTATTTTTTCCTAATCAAATTGTTGGGTTGATTGTGTAATGTTGTGCTGATCAATGAGGGAAATAAATGTTTGATTGCAATTTACTCATTCCTTTTCAGTACAAACGCAATGTGGTCCAATAAGTCTGAAATATTTTTTGTTGTATAAGCCATAATCTAAGATTTCATGAGGTTTTTGGTGTTGACATTAAAACATTTTCACATTGTTTAGGCAAAATGGGGGTCTTCAGTTTCTTAGTCCATTCAATCTTTAAAATTTGCATACCAGATTAATTGATTGATAACAGATACTTATAAAAACTGATTGTGGGCTTTGGTCTCATAGGATTTAATGGTACTGTCTAATAACTTAGGCGTCTCTGAAATTGAAAATGCTGTCAGTCCCAATCAAGATGTCAGTAAACATAATTATGAATACTGCCAGTGGATGGTAACTGACAAATGGTTCAATTCAATATTTTATTACAGTCACAGACCAGAATTACAAATAAAAATGCATTAAAATGAAATAAAACAAAAGAGGATAATATATTACAGTTAATGGTGGGATCATCAGTGGGCAATCAAAGTCTGCCTAATTTTACAGACAGTGTAACAAAATTTAGCTACGTTCAGAGAAACTGAATCATATTGATCAGATAGCAACAACTGTACATAAAAAAGCTCAGAATTTCCCGAGTATTTTACCAAATATGGAGTTATAAAATGGGTCCGTGAGTCCTTATAGAAGGCACAGTGTAGCAGGATATGAGCTGTAGTTTCAATAGCCCCTTGTCCACAGGGGCACATGTCTGCTCTACTAAGAACGTTTTTTTGAGCAGTCACACCCCTTTTTATAAACCAGTGAGATATTTACATTACATAACTGTCTCCAAATTCCGAAGGGCACTAACTCTAGCATGTTGTAAC